GGAGGGTTGAATGTACTTTACGTGGTGCAGAATTTCCCCGAAACATTCTGGTTTCCTGCATTTTTGGTGGCAGTAAATCTGAAAAATGTGGCATGTAACAGCACACATCCTCCCTGAGCCGATCGTTTGTCAAGCCACCTGTGGGCTCTGACTACTGACTTTGAATTTGCTTTTTGTTTTGCAAAATGGCTCAGGCTCAGTCAGAAGGGACACACAAGCATCAATTTTCAAATCTCGCTACTGCTGAGTTTGAGTCTGGACTTTTACTAGGCCCTTTTATCACATTAATCTATCGGAACATATTCCAATGTTTTGAAAAGAACAGCTCTGAGTGGTTTTCAGATTTTAATTTATGAACAAATTGTTTAAAAATATAGATTAATGGTACTTCACAATTAATTAGTGCTTTGTGATTGTCTAGCATCAAAGTCACCTGCTAAATCAATATGGCTGCCATTAAAAGATGTGGTAAGTGCAGCATTATTATTATTAACTACTAATTATTTCCTGCTTCTTATTCCAAGACAGATTCTAAGAGTTTTCCTTTTTCACCTCAAAAGCATAAAATATTACCAAGGATCGTTGGTCTAGTTTCCAACACGAACATCTTACAACACTTGAAACAAGACAAAAATTAATTTACAAGAAACTTTTCAGCAAGACATAGGAGCTTGTTTAAGTCTTAATATTGATTAGAAAGTATTTATTCCACTATTTCACTTTCAAGGTGGTAATTTTTCACCAATATTAAAGAATTATTGACTTATAACCAGCTCCTTTATATTCATGAAAAAGTTATTTGTAAGTTGGTTTTGTTTTATTTCAAGAAATCTAAGAGGTCTGCACTAGAACCTGGACAAAATACTTGGCAATATTTTGCAGTGTAGCAACTGGAATGTCAGCATAAAGTCACTTGACGTGAATTGAATTAGCCAACGGATTCAAAACCGCATTTTCTTCCGAATCCAAACGCTACGTAGCTGTGCTGGGAAACGCTGCTCGAGTTAAAAGGCAGTTGTGCAATTCAGCACCAGGTCTGATTTGTGTTGATGAGTTTGATACTCGCCTTTTGATTTTCACAAATAAGACACGGAGGCGTCCTCACTGCTGAGTGACGTTTGACAAAACGGTGGGTTTCTTGTTAATCAAAGCACACTTCCAAAGACATTCCCGTCATTGCTGACATGTCCTTGATGAGTCTGACTCCACATGGTACCTTTTTTTTGTGTGTGTGTGTGCTAAAAACACCCACTTATTGAACCTTTTTTGAACTCTAGACCAGCTAAACACCTTATAGGGGGTAAAATCCAGAGGCAAGAGGCGGCTTGCTCCAAGGAATCCTGGTGATGCTTCCCGGCTGGGTCGTCCAACAGCTGCTGAGGGTGAAACATCTTGGATCCAGTCCTCTCCCCAAATGACAAAACTCTATTTTAATTCTCCACACAGCACGGTGCGTTGACACCTGGGCTGAGCACACAGTTGAAATCGGGGCCACTGTAGGGGACCTTGACAAACAAGTGACTTTGACTGAATTTATCAGGCAGTCCCTGGAGTTGCACACTTTACACACACACACACACACACACACACAAAACAGCCTTTGAGGAAAATTTGGTTTGTCTTGTGTCATCTCTGTGGCTCATTTCAGGTTTTATTGTCCTGTTTTTAATGGTCTTATTGAATATATGTAATGTATTCATGTACAGTATGTGTATATATATATATATATATATATATATATATATATATATATATAATAAATCTGAACCCCAAATTTAGACAATGACATTTGTTAAATTCAGAGACTTCACACAGGATTTCTCAAAGACTTTTACGTTAAATTACATATTTAGCTCTGAGTTAACTTAGAATCTCAGCTCTATAGACAGACATCGTCTGAGACGAACAATATGAAAAATTGTCTTCAGTCAATCTGGCAAACAAACCAATTTTGATACCTCCCAGAAAACCTGCCTCATTCAAATGTCAAAACGTTTTGATCAAAAAACGAGTTGTTTTTTTTTCCGAAATTACAGTGTTTCCATTAACCGAAATCATCTTCAAAATTTTATACTTGCAGAAAATGGAGCTACTGATAGACGGTAGATGAGCCACAAAAGATCATTGTTCAAGAAACCAGCTGTTCACAGAGTCCTGTATTTAAGTACTTTAATGACCAGTTGAGAGGAAGGAAAATACTTGATAGACGAAGGAACTCAAGCAACAGGGAAAGATGTTATATGATTATATAACATTTTTATTTATTTTTTATTTATGTTTTTTGGCTTTGTTAAAATCCTGATTCAGTTTTCCATTCGGACTTAGATGCCTGGCCACATTGCCAAAAGTACCAACACCTGGTTTAACTGCCATGGTATCACGGTGCTTGATTAGCTGGAAAACTTAATTGACTTTGCTCTGGTGAAGAGGAAGGTTAGAGACGGTTGACCCAACAATGCAGATGTGCTGAAGGCGACTGGAGGGAAAAGTTAAGAAATATGATGATGGATAAAAACGATTAATGTTCGACCACATTTATCTGTCCAGGTTGGTCAGATTACTTTCTTAGTTCTTGTTTGGGACGGTCAGTGCATTCCCTTTACACTGATTCAGCACATTTAACTGACATTGAACTCAGAATCGTCATAGTCATAGAAAGCTGCAAGTCGATGCTAGCCTAATAGTTTATCAGGTTAGCCTGTAGTGGGCATTTTATTTAACCAACAGACATGCTGGCTAAAATTGCTGCTCTAAAGAAATGTTAGAGTGCAGTCGACCAGCAGCTAACATTTAGCTTCTAACATCGAGCACACCTGGCTCCAGTATTAGCTAATTAGCAGATATAAAATAGCATGGTAAGTAGCGTTCCGCCTGCGGTTTTCAGGTTCTGAAGCGTCATTTTCTTTCAAACGTTTTAGAGATGTTCAATGAGATGAAATTACGCAAATAATTAGCTATTATGTTCCACAGAAAAATCCACAAATAGGTAAATCTGCTAAGTAATTGATGAGGTGGTCCATTGTTTTAAAATAGGATTTTTTATTTTTGGATTAGGAGTTCAGAAAATGTCAGCAACACCATTCCCCATCTAGTTTTGACTTTTAATATTAGGATATGATGTGTTGCTTTATGAGAACTTCAATAGGGTTCAAGTTCATGCTCTCAGAGATGTTTTTTATTTATTCTAAAGGTATTCATTGTTTCTTGCAGTGATTAGGTCTTTGAGTGTCTCACTAACATTAAACTTTATTTTTCAAAGCTATTTTTGTTAATCACGTGTTTTCTTGATTTTTTTCTTTTCTTGCAGCGCTCACCCAGCTGTGGGGTTTGGAGATGCATGTGATCATATTTTCACAATTAAGTGAGACAAAAAAGAAAAGCTAAAAAAAAAAAAACATTCTTGCAAATGAATTATCATTCTTAATTGTATATCATTTAATATAGCCTAGATTACATTTTGGTGTTTTGATCTGAGCTTTTTCAATAAAAACATAATCAAAACATACAGAGCCTCCAGTATCTGAGACTTTTTGTCTGTAATTTATATAAAAAAAAACATAAATTTCAACACATTGAGATTCAGGACGATACTTGTATGCAGCTTATAGTACTATGTTGTGTGAAAATAAAAAATTCAGAAGTCTGCTTACATGAGATAAATGAACCAGACAGGGAAGATTGCATCATAAAACACACACACACACACACACACACACACACACAGTTGGAGAAGATATAATAATTTAAAAAATTAATCATATGGTGAAAACCGGCTGATAAAACGATCGACACAGTTTAGTTTTTCAGTTTTATTCACTTAAATCTTCAAGTGTTAAAGCAAGAACAAAACATTTATAATGTCCTTTGGTGGGATTTTAATACACTTTATTAATACTTTATATGTAAACTAATATTCTTTGATGCCAGCACGTTGCCAATACAAAGGGAAATCAACTGCACAACTAAAAAGAAACAAAAATAATGATTTAATAATAAAAAAAAGGAAATAAAAAGAGAAGAATGCCATTGCTTCTGCATTTGGATGTCTTAAATAGATACATTAAAGGTTGCCTTTTTTCAATCACAGTTTGGCAGAGATACAAAAAGGACTACATGACTCGTTTTTTTTTTGTTTTGTTTTTTTGTTTTGTTTTGTTTTTCCTTCATTTTGCCAAGAAAAAGCACTTGCAAACACACTGGATGGTTCTCTATGCACTTCTTGTCTGCCTGCGGTAAAAAAATAAAATAAAATTAAATAAATACTACCCTCTGTCCACGATTGCAGGGAGCGAAGTGGCCCTAAGACAGAAACGGAGTCAGACAGCTTTACTAGATTATCTTTTTGGAAGTAGAGGAGAGGAATGAGAGAACGGAGGGAGGAGGAGAGCTTCTTACACATGTGCATCACTAACATTGGACAGAAGAATCTTTCGACCAACGAGGGTTTACAGAGTTAAAGTTCACAAATGCACAGGTCAGTGGCAGCGTGGGGTCAGGGGGCGTAGGGGGTCAAAGGTGAGGGGGCTGAACAGGAGGAAGGGATGAGACAGAAAGACCAAGAGGGAACGATGTCGGTGGGAGATTTGGGTAAACGCGGGCAAAGTTTTTTTTTTTTTGCGTCACAAAGAGGCAATCCGGACAGATTTCCTTCTATCCACAATGCACTGACAGCAAAGAATGTCTATTTTGTTTTGTTTAGGTTTTTTTTTTTTTTTTCCACCTCTCTCCGTCTGTCATCGCCTTGAAGTGTAACAGTTTTCATCTCTGAGGACGGTCTTCTTTGCTGCTTGGCAAGGACAGGTATTTTTATTTTATTTTATTATTTTTCTCTCTCTCTCTTTCTTCACCATCGTCAGTCCAGCAAATATTAACTCGCAGATGCGTCCCGAGGGGGCGGAGAGCTGGGGATCCGCGGGCCGCCGTCGAGAGCTGATTGGCTGCAGCTGTTGTTGCCGTGGCAATAAGAAAGGGAGTGAACGAGTCTGTCACGTTGAGTTATTCCTCCCCAAACTGGAAGGATCTCAGGTACCTGGTATGGCTTAGAGGGAGGCGGGTGGGGGGGGGGGGCTCCCCGTTCTTTGATTTATCAGGCAAATGCTCAGTTACTCATACTTTTAATAATACTTTTGTTCTTCTTCTTCTTATTTTAGACGTACACTCTTTACTTTTTTATATATTCTTTGAATTTAAATGAAAAGTTTCTGCTTTAGTCTGGCACATTCCCGTCATTGTCAGCACCGAGTCTGGCAGCGGAGAAAGCTCAGTGCGTCACAGTTCAGAAAGCTAATGTTTTTTTTTTTTTTTTTTTTTTTATTATTATTTTTTTTAATTCATTTATTAATTAAATGGTTGTCGGATATCGTTAAGGGAAAGAAGTATCGTGGGGAGAGTGGGACTGAGTGTCGCTCCCACTCGGGGAACAGGTCCTTTCAGAGCGCGGCGGCGCGGCGCGGCGTTTCCCTCCACAGCGCCGCGCCGACCAGCAGCAGCGTCAGCACGCCGCAGAGCGAAGGGGGCCTCAGGGACGCCTGGCCCGATTCGGGCCCCTTGCAGCCGCCCAGCTCGGACTCGCAGCGGGGCTTCTCGCACAGCAGGCCCGTGTGGGAGGCGGGACAGCTGCAGCGGTTGTTCACACACTCCCCGCCGTTTTGGCAGCGCAGGAGTTCGTTGTCACACACCCGGGCTGCGGTGAAAGGAACGTTAAAGAGAAAAGGTCAGAATATCGAGCGCACAAGCAGTGGACGACACTTTACTTGAAGGTACAAGGTGTGGAAAATCAAATCACCATATCTGATGATGGGAGTGATTAAGTCGTGTTTTTAAAATGTACATTTCTTCAAGTAAATTGTCAGCAAACACAATACAATGAGTGTTTAAAGGAAAATCTTGTAAATAGCATTCACCAAATACTAAAACAGTTTTACCAATCGGGTTGCTTTAGGAATCAGTTTTACCTGCAACTTCTTCACATTTTTGTCGTATTAAGGCCACAAATTTTAATGTATTTTGTGTAAACTCTATGTGACAGACCAACACAAATTTAGGGGATGTGCAGTACCAGTTTTCTTTCACACATAGTGTTTAATCTAATCCGATTAGTTAACCGACATGTATGGGACTAATAAGGACTTTCTTATAAAAAACAAGTTATTTAAATAATTATTTAAACACATTGCAATTTTTGCGTTTGTATTGATAAAAAAGAATGTTTAAAATCGAGTCTTATCGAGTCTGGTCTATCAAATATCCCAGCAAAACATACTGACGGGTTCGGATTGGGATAAAATGTGGAGAAGTTCAAGCAGCAGGGTGAAAACTGAACCACTTAAAGTAACTGTTTTAAGAAACGGTTTCAATTCACCTCAACAGCAGAAAAAAGAAAACAATGCATCTAACTTCTTAAGCTGTTATCAAAACTAGCAGTTTCTTTACAAGTTCTTCACTTTTCGTCAGCTAGGTTTTCCTGTAAATTGCTACGCCGGTCATAAAACTGCAGCAAGTTCTGGGCGAACCCCGAGGCCTCTGTCCACTGCTGTATTTCTGAAAACATTTCCTAAGGAAATATCTAGCAGGCGTTCTTCCTAGACGCCCCGAAGCACTTGAGGTGGCCTCTCCTATTCGAGTGGAGGAGCAGCAAATGAGCGTCTGCTGGCAAAAACGTTCACCGTGGCCTCAAGACGTCAACATCCAGAGGAAACTCAGACTAATTATAACTTTTTTTAAAAAATTTATATCTCATTAACTTGGTAACTATCGATAGCTTGTGATGATGGATGAGGACTGCAGCGTAGATCGAATGTTAATGTGATAACTCTTTTTGTGTTCAAACCATTAAACCCTTCGCAGCCCTCCAGACTCCGTCTCAAAAGTATTTTCTGACTGAGGAAAACGATTCCAGACTTGAGAGGTGTGAACTGCACTTCCATTTAATTAATGCTCAGCTGCTCCACTGTCTGCTGGAGTTCTCCGCTCAATACAGACAAACAGCGTTGCATCATCTGCCGCTCAGACGCAATGCAAAGCCAACCGAACCGAGAACCCTCTGCTAAAAGTCTGTCTGTAAAGGCCTCGAAAACAATCCTTGCCAAAGGGAAGTCGTGCCACTTTCTAAACCCAGTGGAAACGAGGTGAACTACTCTAAATTATGCTCTCGTTTTAATTGTACCAAGAGGCGAAACGGCGCCAACGAAATGCTTTGAGGGCTGTGGTTGTAAGTCTTGTTTCAATACCGCAACAATCAAGGACCGAAAAGGTGAGAAGCAACAATCTCCACAATCGTTGCCCTTCTCCTGAGTTAAAAGAATACTTTTTTCTTTTCTCCAAGAATCCAAAGTCTTGGAGAAAGAAAAAAAAGGGACTTTGGGTCTCCCTTAGCTGGGAGACCCAAAGTGCTCCCAGGTAAGGTGAGCAAATGGTTGCGTTCTGATTCCGTGGTTCTGTTGTCAGTTTCTCCGCCAAATGGGTTTTACTTTGGAGGAAACTTCAACATCCCAGAGATGTGGCTATTAAATAAGTGCCACATTCCCGGGTCACAAAACAGCTGATTAGTATTTGAGAGAGTCCTCGTTCACCGAACTGAAGGGTGGCGTCTGTATCTTTGAACACTTTTGAGAAGAGCCATGTCAGCTGCTTACTCTGCGTGCTTCATCTTTGTTAATCACTGCATTCTGGTGACACAAGCAGAATCACTGTATAAAGTCAGTTTGTGAAAGCTTTAAGCTGACATTGACTTTCACACCTTTGACCTTTCTGGAAGCCATTGTAGTGCGGATGAAAGTGATAAGGCTGAATTTTAGCCCAAGATACAATGATCAACTATGGGCTCTTCTCCAGACACCATGTCAAAGATTTTGATTTTAAAGTCTTAGACAATGTAGTTTGGTTGCATTAGGTTTTAGATACTGTTGAGAGCAGAAACTGACGCTTCCTCTAATGTCTGACTGGCCGACTTTGGCTAATTCTGAATTTCCCTTGAAGGACTTTCACTCATGCATAAAAGTTCATGCTGTTTGTTCATGCATTTATGAATGGAACAAGAGCAAAAAAGAATATTGTATTTGTATCCTTACAATATTTGTAAGGACATTTTGAAGATATATTTGAAGACACTCTTCCAACAATTTAGTTTTGAACTTGTTCCAGAGTAAAAACTTCTACTTCTTTTTTTTTTTTTAGCTGGCTATTCAAAGTATCAGAATGTCCAAAAATGGAAGAAGTACAAAAGTTACTACAAAGAAGCCTATGTTTTGCAGAGGCCTGTTGAGAGTTTATTACATCACAAACATCAGGGATTTTAGGGGTTTCAGTAAATGACAGGAAGGCTGAACAAGTTCATCATTACTATAGCAAAGTTACTCTTTTTTTCTTATAAAAGGTAAATCTGTCTATAATGAAACATGTTGAATTTTGGAAATGTTATAGCTTAAGTAAGGATCTGCATTGCTTACAGTAATGCTACTCATGCTAATCTCTAACATAAGACGCTAGAGGCAAACGTTATAATCAATTTGTGTTGCATAGCTGTGTAATACTGACATCTCTCACACACACAGTGTGACATCATCTCCTGACCCACAAAGGATGTTTAGTCAGGTTTTGTTCACACAAAAACCTTAATGTGTTTGTAGTTTTCTTAAAAAACAAAAACAATGAAATGAAAAGAAGCAACTGTGAGTTGTTTTGAAGAAATCTGTTTTTTTTTTTTTTTGGGTCAGACATTTTAGTGTTACAGCAGTTCTGTTTTCTAATTATGTAAAAAAAAAAAAAAGTAGACATTTTTTTTGTTGTATTTATGTTTTTAAAAGACAAATCTCAATTAGCTGCAAAATAGGTGATCAGAAATAAATAGTTCTCATGTGATGTCACACTTTGTTGCTGGCAGCCATCTTGGTAGATTCCCATAACTAACTATCATGACAGTTGCTATGGAGTTGGTATGACAACAGCAAACAAGCCACAATCTCCGTCTCATGCAGGCCAATCCCAAAGCCATGGCTCATCTACGCTTTGCGCTACGTTTACCTACCAAGATGGCGGCTCACCGGCGCCGATCACTTCAGAGTTGTGGGAACTATTTGTGTTGGCCTCGACTTCTGTGACCGGTGCATCTCGTGATAATTTTTTATGGTAAAAGATTAGAAGGTGTAGAGATGTAGAAGTGTTTTAACTGCCTCAGGCATTTTGGCTAAATTTAGTAATTCTGTTTTCTTTTACAAATTCATGTCAGAATTGTTGATTTAAAAACTTTACACTATATTTCTATTTAGTTTCAACCAATAAGGTAGTAACCTTGTTCATAATTTTATCTGACAATGAGAACATTTAAATTGACAGTCGAGCATCTAAAATTGACACAAAACAAATCAAAGTTTAAACATCAGCATCCAACCATGTCCATTTAACTTTAGCTCTCTGACTAAACTTCCAGTAAATCAGCTCCATCACAACCGAAAAAACAACAACAAATAAATAAATAAAAAAAAAGAAAATGCACAATCTCCTCGGTGCCTGCAAGGCGTCTCCCGGACAGTGCTGACTTTAAACAAACTGAACATTAGGTGAAAATTGGTGTATATTTAGAGCTGGGACACCGAGGCCACTCTATTCCCAGCGGAGGCAAGCTGTCAAGCAAGCTGGAGGCAAACAAAGCTGCACAGCACAAACTAATAAACCAAGAGACAAATAAACAGTGATAAACAAAGGGGCCACTTCTGCCCGTTTCACTCCTTTATGGGAGTGGAAAACAATGCGGTGAGTAATATATGAAGTCTGTGGACCATAAATATCACAATAACAAATATCAGATCTCGCTCCTAATACTCAGGACTGGGTGCATTGCCATCTCCTCGGAATAGCCAAATAGAGCTTTGATGAAAACCTTTCTGAGAGTCTCTGTATAATGCGTGACTCATGTTTGTGCGCCTTGAAGGACAGGAAAAAAAAAAAAAAAGAAATAAGTGCCGCGTGGCTCAGAAAGTTAGTTTTTACTGTCGATTCTGAGATCAAGTCTGAAGACAAGTCAGATTGATGAAACCTGTTTGATGGAAGGAGACAAATAAAAGGCAAAAAATCGATCAACATCGTCGATGGAAAACTTTTCTTTAGTTGGTTTTACTTTTTATGCCGATACCAGCTCCATTTTGGAAATACGGCGTCTGCTTTGAATTACATTTAGTTGGACAAAAACCTCCCATTTCAATCGTTTTATTATTCTTTCCTGCTATAATACAAATGAGTATCTCGACAAACTAAAAAAAAAAAACACTTATTCCAGTGCAGGAAAATGTGTAATAAATTCAAAATAAGAACACAAGAATAATTTCTTTTTGTATTTACCCTCATCTAAAAGTAAAAGCAGCTAAAGGGAAAGCAGGCCTCAAGCTACGCGTGTCTGGAGTGGAATCCTCACCTTCAATTAGGAATGAGAAGCGCCTTGACATGAGGAAGATTAATGCTCACATAAATAAAGCAGATTTTATTAATGTTGCACTTCAGAGGCGGCGGCGGTCGAAGTTTTACGTGTGTATTAATGTGGATTGACTTGTAAAACTAACAAGCAGGAGTTTCACTTCACAAATGTCTGAAAGTCTTCAAAGATTCAGTCCTCAGTTTTACCATTGATTATCGATTGGGCTTAGGATAAGACTTTGACTGGGCACATGGATTTACTTTAAATGAAACTTT